TAATCGTGACTAGTCGACTAATCGTGGCAGCCCTAGTATACATGCTGTTACAGGTCATGACGTCGGGCTTCACACTGCTCTAAAAGTCAGGTGTCACTTTTTTCACTGTCAGCTTTGTATGATGTCACAAAGAGCGGCGCTCCACTCAGGCTCTGTACAAATAAGGATTACTTTGAACTATGAGTCATGAAACTCTACTCTCGTCCAATCAGAGAATAAAGGCGTGGACTTTAAGGATCCACGTCCTGTTTTTGTAATCGATCTTCTGAAAACCAAAACCATCCACAGACCTGATGTTTCACTCATGTATTAAACACACTGTTCAAACTTTGCTGATGCTTTTCCACTTTTGTCTATCTTTACCCTGTGTATCTTTGTGTGTGGTGGCGGTCAGTACTGAGTGTCCCTGCAGGACGTCCACTGGTCTAAAGTCTTACTGCACGTAAAGGGAAGGCTTTTGTTTTAGTTAGTCTGTCGTCCATCACTGGAAGTCACAAGCTTTGCAGATTCTGGTGAATTCGATGGAAACTATCACACAGAACATGAAGCAGCAACAAGTACTAAGAAACAGCTTTTATCTCTTTTTGTTTGCATTATTTTCCTGTTTCAAACAGGCAAACGTGTGGTGTGAAGTGACATTAGTGTAACAGCCAATCATCACAATGATGTCCTAACTGAATACAAATAGATAAAATTGTCAAACTTGGAACCAGAAGGGAAACAGAAGGAACACATGTAAAGAAACATGTGGTTATCCCAACGGGGCTTTCATCAAATCAGCAAAGACGCACAGAAAACAAGATCAAACACCAACGAAGGAGGATCAGAAACAAACTGAACAATACTGTCAACCCCTAAACCAGGGGTGTCAAACTCAAACACACAGTGGGCCAAAATTCAAAACTGGAACAAAGTCGCGGGCTAACCTTAATATTTATTGAAACAAAATCTTCCTCCAGATATAAGAATGAATCTTTTCTTATGGACTCAAATAAGTTTTGCTGGAAAACTGAATATGGAACAAGCAAAGCTTAATACTAAACAATATATATATTAGCTGTATAATAGCAGTAGGCCAGCTCTGATAGTAATTTGGTGTGGCTTCGCGGGCCAAATGTAATTAGGCTGCGGGCCAAATTTGGCCCGCGGGCCAGAGTTTGACACCTATGCCCTAAACCATCTGCATCTAAAGGTCAAAGGTCACTCTTTGAGGATGCCAATGTCCACATGTTGGACAGAGAAGACAGAGGAGTGAAAGAAGCATCAAAGGCTGTATCCCAATTCAGGGTCTGCAGCCTTAACGTCCACAAGCGCCACGTACTCAAAGACCGCTAAGGCCGGAAGTGCGAGGCTTGTGAAATGGGCGGTCTAGCCTCTGTCGCTGCCCAGGTTGCCTAGCAACCATGATACTAACAGCTGGAAACGTGTCATACAGCTGTGTTTGACAGAGATGAAGGAGAAAATCTTTTGTTCATTTGTTGGTTTCTACATGAGCTTTGATCATTCTCTGATTAAGCTCAGCTATTGAACGGCGTGTATTTTAAAGTAAAGGCTTTAAAACCAAGTTAGTACAAACGTCACTAATGTCACATGACTTTGCCGACATGTGGCCAACAGGAATGTTTAATGTTCTTCGTTATCAAACATTTGCACATCAATAAGTGACGTCATATTCAGTACTTAACGTTTACTCTTCGGGCGCCCCTCATCCGCCGTTTTTTTTCCCAAAATTCTGGGATATGTTGGGCCACGAAGTCTACACCACCACATCCTTAAAATTCAGGGAAATGAAGGACGCATTTGAGGGCAGCATTTCGAGCAGCCTTTGAATTGGGACAGCCTTCGTCTGTCACAGTTACGTAATTAAAATGCGGCCTTTCAGGCTGCAGACCCTGGATTGGGATACAAGCTGTGTCCCAAAACGTTGGCTGCATCCTTCGGAGGACCCGGCCTTCTTAGTCTACGTGGGCCGAGTCCTGCAAAGATCAAGGAGGCCGGAAGTGCGAGGCTGTGAAATGGGACGGTCTCACCTTCAGATTTGCGTCACCGCTGTCTCGGTGGAGTTTAATAAACTCGGCCGTCCGCTCCTTGCTGTCTAACAGGACACTGGTGTAAATTCTCGACCGTCTCACACTTCTGTTTAATCAGTTTTCTGTTTAACATTTATTCAGCTGTGAGAAAAGCCCAGAGGAACCAACCCGATGGATTAATAAAGTTGTATTTAATCTAATAATCTAATAACTTTGATCTCAGCAGAACCGATTTACTCCGGAACAAATAAAACAGAAAAAAGGCTAATAATTACATTTTTAAGTTATCCGAGTGACTTATATCATATATAACCTGAGTAGCAAAAGAGCAGGGGTCTGAAAACGGTGAAGCCGGGAGTCCACTGCTCTCGCCGGCTGGAGTGACCATTGAACCCCCCGGCTCGCTATCGAGCGGGTGGGTAACAGACGTCTCTGAAAACGTCGGCACACTTTTGCAAATATGCGATATCTTGATAAACCGAGCAGATATTTGAGCTACTTTCTCGCCTTAATATATGTTAAAAGTTTATTTTGTGACCCAGAAAGATTAATAAGACTAATTTTTAAACTTAGTAGCGGCCGCCATTGTTGGCAGCTGAAATTTGGCTGGGCCGCGCTATGAATTCTGGGATATGGTGGGCCACGAAGGACACACCGACCCATCCTTCGAATTCGGGGAAATGAAGGACGCATTTGAAGGAGTCTACGAATTTGGACAGCCTTCATCGCCTGGCTGTGACGTAATCGGCCTTCAAATGCGGCCTCCGGGGGATGCAGCCAACGTTTTGGGACACAGCTACAGCCTATGTCCACTGTGAACGGCCATCTTTGAACGGAGGCGGGGCTAGTGACGCCAACTGTCTGCAGTCCAGTTTTGAGATCCTTCCTGATCTGCAAAAGCTTCTTGGATGAAATGTCTTCAAGAACGTAGAAGTACACAGAGAACAGAGCAGAGCCAATCAAATGCCTGGGTGCATCATGTGACCTCTGACGTTAAAGAAACGCTCATTTCTTCTCATGTGTTGATTTTTATCAGTGACAGCAGATACACTCTGGCTACATCTGTGTCCTCGCTGGTAGCTTATAGTTTCACTAATGATAAACCAAGAACTGCGATAAATTAACGCAATGATGGTCCCTGTTATTACCTGGAGTGGGAGGAGCTACCGCTGACACAGTAGCCCCTCCCCTAAAAACATCAAGTATAGCCAGAGCCAGAAAAAAACAGTTTTCCCAGGTTGAGTGCTGGAGATTCCTGCCTGCATCCCAGCTGTTTTCATGAGTTTGTCTTGCTAATGTGCGCCAGTTAATAACCAGGATGAACCAGAACACCGTGAGCAAGGCGGCAGACTCGTGCTGCTCTTTAATAAAAGGCTGAGTGTCCTCAGAGGGACGCTGTGAGGGAGCTCCGGGTGTCTGCAGACTCACAACAACAGCCTGGACCATTACATTCATTTTATTAGCAACATTCTGCTGAAGTTACCGTTTGTGACGCGATGGAGGAAATAACACTGAAAGAAAACATTAACTGTGACTGTCCTCAGGTTAATACGTTTTTAACCTGTAATGTCTTTTACTCTGAAAATAACACAGAAGTAAAAAGCTAACACTTTATTTTGCAGGTTTGGCACTTTCCAGCTCATTTCCTGGAAACTTTACTAAACAATGTAAAATAAATTCTCAGTTCTTCAGCTCTTTGTGGAGCTGAGCTGCATGTTTGCAGCTTTCATCCTGTAAAACACACATTCAGTGGCTCCATCTGGACGATGCTTTAAAGATAAATATAAGATAAAACTTTAAAGAACGCTTCCAGGAAACGAGCTGGAAAACCCAACGTGTCTTTAAATACAATAAAACATGAAATATTTCAGCTGAAGGATGAACTTCTTCCTCGTTGTTCTGATTGGTCAGCTGATCAAACACAGGAGAGTTTCCTGCAGTAACATGAAGTCAGCTTCTTTGTCATCTCTTCTCGTGAGCGTTTCTCTATCAAAATAAAAGCCTCTCCTCTCGCTGCCTAGCTGACAGGATCCACCACCAGGACTTTGCACTCCCTCTTGGCGATCTTGTCCAGCGACAGCAGCGACTTGTCCTGCGGCGGCAGGTAGAGCGGCCGACCGACCGGAGAGCCAACGGGAGGCGTGATGGCCCGTCGCTCCATGGCGCTGCCCGTCCTGTCGCACACAGATAAGATGAAACGACATACTCGATGTGATATGAAGCTGAAGTTACTAAAGTTACCTCATGATGTGGGACCGAGACGGCTGCTGGTGGGAGAAGGACTGAGAGCGCCCCAGACTGGCCTGGTGTCGGTCCAGGAGGTCTCGAACCGCCGGGCTGGACGGGCTGTTTTTACCTGGATGGTTTTGACACGACACAGAAATCAGAACAGACGCAGGTCAAAGCCTTTTGTGTTTGTTTCCTGCTCAGAGCTTACGTGACAGGGGCCGGGCGTCGGGTGGAGGGTTGGACACCGACGCTGTGAACTGGAGCTTTAACTTCATGTGCTGACTCAGCTGCAGAGACAGGAGAAAACATGACGTCCGTGTGAGCGGGCGAGATAAGGAAGCAGGCGCTCAAAGCTCGGCGTACCTCGTACAGTCCTGGTTTGAGGATCTGGAAGGCCACGCTGAACGACAGAGTGCTTCCTTTGCGGCAGTGACCCAGGTTACTGAGAGGGGTGTGACAGACCACGGCAGACAGCGCTGCGTCTTCCCCCTGACCTCGACCTGAGCGAGCAAGCAAACAACACATTACTCGGTCTGAACCGCGACTGACAGAGGGCGGCGCGATTCTCCTGAAACTGGTCCAGAGAACCGTCTCCATCCACGAGAAGAACACAACCAGAACCAGCTGGACAAAGCACCATCAGGGCCGAAGAGCCCAAGCCTGCACTCCCCCTAACGTCCACTAGAGGCTCAGTCCCCACAGACTGCCACGCGTCCCAGAAACAAACCCGCTCACAGGTTTCCTTTCAAACAGCTGCAGGGTGGATTTTTTCAAAACATCAAACGTGAATCAAAATACTCGCTGACCCTCTGGAGTCCAGACGAGCCGCACAGCCAGGAAGTCCTGCAGGTTGTTGAGAAGAACGTATTTGACCTTGAAGTGCTCCTTCACCTTGACGGCGCTCGGACAGCTGGCCGTCATGACGAAGCGCGGCCGGTCCAGACGGATACTGGGCAACCTGAGTGGAGGGGAGGGAGGACGGCGGGTCATTTAGAGAAGCAGCAGGAAAAAACTAAACGCTGTGTCGTCCTGCTGCAGAGGTCTGCAGCCCCGAGCCTGGATGTCTCTTACCAAGACTAACACAGCACGCGTGGAGCTGCCTTACCTGTAGTGGGTGTAGATGCAGTTGGTGAAAGGCATCTTGGAAGTTGACCACTGCAGCACAGCGACCAGAGGAACCTCCAGCCCCTGAACACAAGCACACACATGCTGACAGCAGCGAAATAAGTAAAGGACGCATTAATCCAGCAACGATCCGCCGACCGTCGCGTCACAGCTGCTCTACAGTGTGTCCGCCCTCCAAGTCCTAATAAAGTCCTGCGTTGACACAGCTGTTCACAGAAACACGTCGTTTACTTTTCCTTCTTCAGGAAATCGCGAGGAGAACACAAACTGTCACGTCACCAGAGCGCACTGTGCACCAAACTATAAAACACACAACGCAACACGAACGCACCTCACTGGAGTCGTCCGGCGGCATGTCGTTGAGGTGCAGCTGGAACAGGAAGTCGTGCTCCTCCAAAGCGCTGAGCATGCTGGGAAGACGGCAGGCCAGGCTGTCCACCCGGCAGAAGGACGCCATGCCGACCTCACCGGACTGATGGCTGCAGAGCGAAGAACAACAAATACAGACATTCAGGAGCATCGCACAAACACACAATCTGACTGCACAACAACTCGTTTTACGACTAACAAAGTCCCAGAACTCAAAGTAATCGAGTATAACACAAAGTAGCATCATTACTAAAAACTATCTGCAATGATACAAATGATAAAAATCCAACACAGTGTAACAAGGTATACACAACACACTGTCATTAAATACAGTGTAACAAACACAAAGTCATAACTAACACGCAGAGACAGCAGCAGCCACGGCAGCGCCTTCTGAACGCTGAGCACAAACCATCTGGACGGGTCGTGTACGTACCACACGTTGTCCACCAGCAGCACGGAGCCGTCGGGCATCACGGGAAGGTAGGAGGCGTTGAGGTTCGGTAAAATCCGAACATCCCGAACACTCACCTCCTCCTGAGAAGACTCGTTCAGCACTGACGGTGGGACAGGAAACAGAATCACAGTTGGAATCAAACCACTGCAACCAAGCAACTGAATCGATTTTATTTTATTTACGGATTCGTTTCGGCCTTTAACGATGATTTAAAAAACAGCGCCCTCTGCTGGTGCTTTTAGATTAAATACCAAAATATTCCTACATCGTCCTGCTGATCAGAGTCACAACCACGGAGCAGAGACTCGACCGTTTCACGGGGCTCAGCGACACCTCGGCGTGCCGGCGGTGCGCTGGCATGCTGGACGTCAGGTTAAAGGAGGTGATGCATCTATTGCTGATCGCTGCCCTGTTCAGCTTCATGTCGCAGCACACAGCTGGGTTTATGTCGCTTAGCTTGGAGGCTTCCCTGACATGCAAGCATCTGTCACCACAGTGACATCACAGTGATGATGAAGAGCGTTCTGTACCTTTTAAGACCGCGAGGTGTTTTCCAGAAACAGTCATCTGCTTGCAGCGGACAGTTGGAGGCGGCAGGACGGTCAGGGTGGTGCTCACTGTGGATCAGAAGCTGTGTTAAACCTCCCAGAGGACAACGGGACATCTTAGAAAATCATTAAAATTCTGTTTATCAGGATAAAACAGTCCCGCCCTCAGTGTGGGAACCTCAGCGAGGCTCTCAGAGGCGAGGAGAACTGAAGGAGCTGATTTAACTCCTGACTGATCTATGAAACTGATCATATGTCCATAACTGACCTCCGTCATGGTTGGATTGATTGTTTTTTACTGTTACAGCATTTATCTTGATTTACTGAAAACTAGACGGATGCTCTGCTAACGACTCTGCGTTCAGGTTGAGTCACCTCGAGCAGCTTTACACTGTCAGGCAGAGCCGACAATAACAAACCACACTCACGTGACCCCCTGCTGTGGAAGAGAGCCAGACATCAACAATAAATGATGATTAAATGTCTCGTCATTCCGTTACTTTGATTCATAATTGTTCAGTACTTCCTGTTTTAATTTGAAGGTTACTTTCCTGTTGCATCTTGTTTGTTCTGCTTCCTGAGTGTCAAACCTGAGTGTCACTGTCAGGTGCGCGCTGTTCCCACCTGCTTCCTCTCAGCCCCGGCTGTGGCTCATGTTTAATGGAGCGGTCTGTCTACCCGCGGTTCCCATGAAGCATTCAGTGCCTACCCTGAGCCTTGAAGGTGTTCAGGTCGTGTCTGAAGGTGTGCGTCGGCTCTCTCTGCTGCAGCACGCTCAGGTAGCCGAGTTCCTGCACCTCCACTTTCTCCGCCTCCTTCTTCCACACCGTGACCATCACCTGAATGCACATGGAGCAAAATTACTGAGCGAAGCAGCTACGACTCAAAGTCTTCACACAACACCAGATATCTGCGTCCAGAACAAGGCGGACCTTGACTTTAAGGGTGCTGACGGGCAGTTTGTCCAGAGAGACGGTGAGCGGGAAGATGACCTCATCCGTCAGGACCACCGGCTCATCTAGAGGAGACTGACAGGGAGGAGCAAACACATCATGGCGCCTGAGAGGAAAGCATCGCCTCTGAGGATCTTAATCTAACAGCTGGAGAGAGGAGCGCCGTATCAAAGACAGGTAAAGGTGTGCGTCTACCTGGACGGGCGCCCTGCGGAACTCCCTCGACGCCGTCCCAGAGGAGTTGTGGATGAGCAGAGGTTTGCAGTCCCTGAAGCTCCGGCACCGGGAGTCCACCCTGCTGCCCAGCGCAGCGATGGCGGCCTCGGCCGCCGCGATGTAGTCCTCTTCGCCGTCCTCGTTGGCCTCGTCCCCGCTGCTCTGGTAGTCGTGGTGATGCTGATGGTGGTTGCCCCGGTGACGACTGCTCTCACCCGGACTCACGCTCGCCACGGCGCACAGAGATCCGGCCAGCTCCCTCCACGCCCGGCTGCTGGCCGATTCCGTCCCAAAACCTGCCGCGGTGCCATCAGCGCCCCCTGCTGGAAAAGACAGCTCTGCTCCAGACTTAAGGAAGCTTTTTTACACCCAAAGAAACATTTTTAAGTACAAAAGTCTGAAGAGTTTGACTCTGTAACTCAGACTTCTGAGAAAATGACTAACAAAGTTAAGCGAAAACAAATTCCCCAAACGGTTCTTTGTTTCAGTGGCAGCGCTCACTCTTTGAACCTTCACATCATTTCCTGTTTCAGTGCTGCAGCCGTGTTAGAGCTGTGGCATTTTATCCCTGCAGGTGGAGCTGTGGTCCTACAGTAGCTCATGTTTGTGGCCCCATCTGTGCAGGTGTTAAGGCAGGTATGGTCCTGTTTCATACGGTATTTTATTCTATTTAAATGTGTTTTACTGCATCTCTTTGCTCCTTCGTTTCCCAGTAACTGAACTTGCTTTTTGTACAGTAGCATTTCAGCCCTGCGTTGATCCATCATGGCTGCTGGGATTTTACCGTCTCAGCTCCAGTTTGCTGAGTACTGAGCGATGTTCTGGTCCTGGATCAGTACGAGGCCCCCGGCCGGATCATCTCAGGAGTTTAACTCTGGTTCATTGTCCCGCTCTGCACCTACATGGTTTCATTTGAAGCTCGTATCTACTGTTGGCCAAGCGCAGGTTTTATTAATGCATTTGTCCGGATGTGTTAGTGTCTCGTGCTCTGTTACCGCAGACGATGAGCCTGCTTTGACCTAAACTGCGCGGCCATAACAGTCAGGTGGAGGTTTCTGGGTGGTGCAGGTATGACCTCCATAAATGCAGATATTCAGAGGGCGTGTCTGTGGGTCAACAAAGGCTTAACCGTGAGTGTGCGGCCTCCTTTGTGTGCAGCCGTTACTGCTGAGGCTTGACTAACGTGACTCATGCATATAAATACACGTGACGTATGTAAGACGGCATAACGAGGATATCCTGTGCACACCTGCGGGACACGTCACGAAAACATCCTAACGTTACAGGAGGAGCCTCAGCAGGTTTCTGTGACAGCTGCTCCCACACCAGACACTGCGCTCTGTCTCCGTGTTTTCATGGTTTCGTGTTCACGTCTGTATGACTATCACAGGCTCGTACACTCATCTCTCCTCGGCCCTCCCTCACGTACCCGGGCCGTGCTCGGTCGGCGTCGCTCCGGCTTCCCTGCAGCGCAGCACCAGCAGGAAGCGGACGGTCTCGCCCAGGTACAGGTGGCTCCTGCGGGGCAGCGTGCGGTACCGGGCCGGGTCGGACAGGTCCGTGATCGGCACCGCCGGGAAATACATGAAATACTCGCACTGCGACTCCATCATCTGCACCATGGCGACGACGGGAGGAGGCTGAGCGGCAGCAGGACCACAGTCAACACGCTCTAACAATGAAACGCGCACTTCCTGTTGCGACTTTCAAAGTAAAAGCACGGACACCTGCCGAATGGGGAAAAATGAGACCGTTAGCGCCCCATAGTGGACGTCCAGGGTACTACGACACCAAGTTTCTCGCAGTTGCCAAACTCACATGAAATTTAAAATAATAAGCACCGAGAGGAGCGTCTGGGTTTTATTTAGCTGTTATTTAAGTGCAGCTATCTGGACCTTTTACATGATTTATTGCACTTAAGTGTGGCTCTGATAAATTCACATCCATGTACCGATGCAGACATGTTTGCTTTGCTTTTTGACGTTTTGAGTTCACACACACGTGTTTACTTATGTGTATGCATGTGTGCGTGTG